TTTTTTTTCTATAATACATTTGAAAATCTTGTTCGATATTAAAATTATAGCACAAACTTTAGTTACCATGTTTGTGCAGATTATATTCAGTAAATCGTGTATCTTCTTTTTAATTTCATCAATATTAAGTTGGTTAAGTTTATCAAGGTGACTAGATAAATATAATATTAATTATTGTTATTATAAGTTATATAATATCATAGTATACTATAAGCAACATTTAATCATTTGATCAGTAGTTTGACGTTTTTCATGAGTAAATATTTAAGTGCGCTCGGAAGACGTATACCAAGGTTTCCTATATTGAATGCCTATACACACAAAATAGAAAAACCGGTTTTTTTAATAATTGTTTGGTACAAAAAAAAAAATCACAAGTTTACCAAACAAAATAATTTTATTTAACTTCTTGCAGCATTTCATTCTGCATTTGCCTAAGCATGTGTTTTAAGTACATAAATGATTTTTAAATTTTTATTGCAAAACCAAAATGTTTTAATTTACACAATAATAATATTCAAAATATACTTAAAGTTCCATATATTTAGTATAACCATCGTTTGAAATTACGCTGAAGACATAATGCATGGTTCATTTACTTCATCATTATTTAGGTGTTTTCCATGTATCATCCAATGGTAAGCGTCCACTAGTTGGTAATTTTTTAAGATATTTCTAAATGTAAATAACCAAATGAACCCAAAAGCTGTACACATGGCTATTGCTACATAGTATCCATCCACATGAATCCCACAAGTTCCTCCATTTGTAATGCATAGCTAAAAAAGAAATATTAAAAAATCAACTTAAAAATATGAATTTTTAATTATGGATATTTTATGTTCACTAAATTTGTTCAACGATTATGTATATTTATTATAGTTATTGCAGTCAAAATATTCAATGATATCTTACATTTTTTAAATCTTTCGTGTAACAGGTATTTTCGACATTATTAGTACACTCGCTTAAAGTTAAAATATCAATCAGTCTCAAAACAAATGTATTTGGTATTAACCATCCCAAAAAGTAAAATGTATTGTATAGTGTCATGTACGTTCCGCCAAAACGGGGATCACTTATTTTACAAAAGAATGCAATTAGTGTCAGCATCAAAAATAAACTCAACATCTAAAACAAAATTTAAAATTTAATATTATTATTTATTTTTAAAAACCCATAACTTAAATAAATACTGTTTAACGTCAAAAAAACAAATAATTATAATATTATATTATACTTATTATTAGCATAAATAATAATATAATCTTATGATAATTTATTATTATAAACTATACTATTGATACTTGTACAGTTTCTACTTGAAACTTTATACCAACTCAAAAGTTGGTTTGACTATTAATTTGAACGTATTATTCTAATAAATATCTCTACATATAACTCCTTATTTTATATAGAGGTATCATACGAATTCAATTAATTAAAATATGTATATATATATATATTATATAATATAATAGTTACAATTTAGGACTAGCTTGAAACAATATATTAGGTATACAATTTAAGGCGTTACATTTAAAGGGCTATTTAAAACAAGGAAATAATACTACCTAACTGATATAGATTTATTAACTCACCTCGTTTATAAGAGATACCAATCCTAATATTAGATAATAATATAACGGTATGGTAATAATAGGTCCATCTTTGTATATTAAACTTGGTGTATAATAAACCAACACAGAGAATAAAACACCACAAATTAATCTGAAAAATATTTTGTTAAAACAATATATTATGCTGCTATTTCATTAGACACATAAAATACAATAATATCATACATAGTGACAAGTTACTAGTGTTTTGCAGGTAAATACATTTACGGCAATGTGTTATTTCACAGATTATATTATATTATAAAAACAAAAATGTTCACTGAAACTTATTTTTTAAACCATTTTTTCTCTCATCTTTCAAGTCATGCCCCCTTCACCCGTTCGCAAGTTAAACTCCAAAAACACAAATCGTTAGTACTTACGTGAATAACACGAAAATTCCATTTCCCTATAACAAGCTAGAATATGTGCCTACACACAGGTGAAAGTTGATTTTTTGTGTAGCAGCATTTATCACTCCTTAATCCTTATATTATTTAATCGTTTTTATTGATTCAGCAACCATGCATGTTATATATATTATTAAATATTTATATATTATACTCATTATTTTATACTTATGTAACACCAACATAAGTAAACAATCTATTAAAAAAAAACATTTTGGCATTTTCTGTTAGTTCAGTTACCTATACTTTTTTTTAAATGATTATTTATTATGTTTATATCTTTTTTTTAATCAACACGATATCAAGGCAACACTGTATTCCTCAAAATAAGAAATTAAAAATGATTTTTCATCACACAAAAATTATGAATAATCAATTTAATAGATTATATAAAAAAAAACTAAAAAAAAAAAAAAAAAAAGGCTATAACTCATCATAATCATATTATGCCCTGTGGTCATTAATATCAAAAACTATCAGAAAGTGGCTTGGTATGGCGTGGTGACTGGCTTCGTTCACGAATGTGATCTGAGTATTAGCACCGGCCAGTGCCACTAGTTCCTGGATAAGTGACCACATGGGTTCTTAGTAGCAAAATTCTTGCCACTGTAGACGTGTTTCTAACTAACTGTATCAACTGTACCACTCGTAACCCCTACAATAGAAAAACCTCAAGTATATGACCTCAGATTTCGAAGCCTTAACTTAAAAAAAAAATAAATACATATCAGAAAATATATTTTTATTAAAGCCCAACAATCATTCAACACGATTTTTATGTTAAACGCATTTACTTAGAAGTTTTAATTCTTTAATAATAAGTAGTGAAATATACAACGTTGATACCTTATTATTTGTTCATTAGTAAATATTAATTATGCTCGGTTAGTAAAATTGGTTAGATGATAACGGTTTTAATATATCAAATAATTAAAATAATTATAACTAAAACTCGATATTACCTTTATAGCTTATAGTTTAGCTGTTTCATTTATCCAAGTAACATTCAAGTTTCGTAAATTCTTACGTACACATTTTCGACATTTTGTACTTAGCTAGGCACACTGGCACATAGCGCTTGGGAATAGTAAGACGAACTAAGATCATACAAGTTTACAACCTTTTTTGGTTGGCAATGAATACGGATTATTATAGTTTTATCTTTACAAGATCAAAACTACACTATAATAAAAAAAAATTATTGGTTACGCAATGTGTGTAAGTGAATGGTTAAATGAAGATTTCGGACTAGTGCATTTATTTAGCACAAACCTAATTTGAATATTTATCACATAAATTATAAAAATAAGTTTCATATAAATATGTTTCTGTATGGGTTATCTGAATAAAATTGATATATTTTTATATTACTTAACATAGTTAAGTATAGAGTAATTGAATAGATTTCAAACTTTTATAATTACCTATAAGAAKTATCAATCTAACCGTAAACCTACATATATATAGTAGTTTGACTTTAAAGTCTTTAAGATAATCAATCATATGCTATTCTTGACAGTACTAAGACGACATGATTGTATATGTTTTATATTTAATTATTCATTTTTTTATTAAAATTGAATTTCTGATTAACTAGGTCCTTGAGTTTCATTAAAATGTGTTTAAAATTTATATTTTTTATTAGTCCTGCGGGTTTTTACCAATACTATTTTTACTACCATATGTTAATATAAAATATTTATTATATATATTATATACTGTCTATGCTATATATTGTGAAATATACTTTCTAACATCATTTATTATAATTTATAATTATAATTAAAATAATTGAATATGTTTAATTTCGTTATGTCAAAATTAATTGGGTCATTCGGAATTATTATTTGTTTTTTAGATAAAGATGTTATTTAATATTCAAATAGGAATATTATTATTATTTTCAGCTGACAAACGGTCCAACTCACGCACTTATGATAATAGCACTTGTTAATAGTAACCTTGTATAATTATTGCTGGAAATATTGCAATTCATGTTTAAAATATTTCAGAGGCCTTCAAAACACGGATAGGAATGATAATATTGCTTTCGTAGTATTCTCATCTATTCAAATTATTGTATAATACCATTGCATATCGATTAACATAAAACTTAGCTTAAGTTATCCATGATAATGTGAAGATATGTAGTGTTAGTTTATTCCCGTAGTTACGAAAGACAAGTGCACACGATTCTTAACGTTATTATAACTGACTACAAATGTAGATATTTTATGCATCACCCATATAAAATAATATAAAAATCATGCTTGACTATATTGCTTACCATATCATTAAAATTTATAAATTTCATTATACTTACAATATAATAAATTACTTTTATTTACCTGATAGGCGTAATTTTCAGATGGTAACTCATTGGTGTGGAACTAGTAACATATTTACATACAAATATTGGAAAAACGAATTTCATGACATACATTACTGAAGTGATCATCATAATGTCATCCTTAGGTATACCAGCATCAATTAATTTCAAATTTGTTACAGATTCCGAAGCAGTAAATCCCATCTAGAATACAAAGACATAGCGTTTTAAATAAAATGGACTACAGAGAAACTATTTTTTATTAATAACTTCCCGCAATTGGGGAAATCTATCTTTAGTGAAACTGTATAAATATCACATTATAAGAATACTTGTATATTCCATTCTATCGATAAAGAAACATTAACTGTTAAATGTCAACATCATAATACAATAATGTTAATAATATATTTATAATATAATATCCTCAGTTGGACCATTATAGTGTATTTATTAATGTGATTTATTCTGGATGACCAATAAATTATTATTAAATATGCTAAAAAAAAAAAATTCTGATAATTTTTAATTGAATCAATAGGTGACTTATTATGAAATGTACCTATATCGGTAGTGTTATGTTTTTAAATTTTAAAGTGCTCAAATTTCGAAATCGATGCTTCAAATATATTTATAGTCAATTCTATGAATCTCATCCGCTAAAAGACATTAAATATGCATGAAATTACACACTAAAATACGAGAACATTTAAATGGTTTCAAAAATATGTAAATTTATGGAAAATCTATTTGATAAAATTAATTCACGATTATAAATAATATATAATAGCTTAAAACGTAATAAATAGTATGCAAAGAATATTCTGACTGCATATATATATATATATATTATACATAACTTTTTTTATCAAAAAAATTTAAATGACCTAGCTTTAAAAATATGTATGTATGTATATATTTTTGAAAAATGTAGATGTACATAATGAATATTTTAAACAATATATTATATTCAAGTACAATATTGGTATTCGATTTAGCCAAATCTATAATTTTGCAACCAAATATTAACTAAAAGCTAGATAAGTATATGCCTTGATATGAACTGAATAAAATACACTAAAATAAGCGAAATAAAATTTTGTATTTTTGAATAGTTAAATCAAATTTGAGTCTTATTTATTTTTAATTTAGAATAAAATATACAACATCATTATATTCACAGCCCTGTCACTCTGTTGATAGTTTTAGTAAATATCATTCATATATTCGTATGTAATATTAATATACATGCAAGATTATTTATCAAGTATTATAAATCTCTATAAGGATTACATTTTATATGCATGTATATAAAAAAAAAATGTTTTAATTATGGCATGGAATCAATAAACATTTTATAATCATTTTGAATGTCTTTGTATAATATTAAAATAAACATTCTGAGAACATTTGAGGTCTCCAAGATTGTAAAAAATGGATAAATTAATGCGATCAGTTGTGGTTTATCCAGTGAATTTCCCAAAAGGCCAGGGTTTATTGACAGGTTTTTGCGTACAAAAGAGGTGTACCTCGTATCTCCACTCAGATATAGGTACATATTATAATTTTATTTGGATCATAAAATTATAAAAAAAAAAAACATTAGAGGTTATATTATTTTCAAACAAATACTAAATAGTCAAATAAAACAAATACAATTCTTAATTTAATGTTAAAAATAAAATGTGTTGTATACTTAGCCGTTTTGGTATACATTTATTGTAATAATATTACTGTATTTAAGTCAGAGTTTAAATTAAATAGATATTCGTCAGTAGGTATGTTTTGTTATTATTATTCACCTTTATTGTCAGCAATGCTACTGCCAATACTCTAACACGAGGTAGCTTTATAATGTCCCACAATAGTATATAATTCTCAAATACGCTGATTTTTTTGTGGTTATCTTCCAATTTATGCTTTTCACTTTTAAACAATCCAATGAATACTGTTACCATCAAAATTATGATAGCCCAAATACTAAAAAAACCTAAGTAAATAAAATATAAGACAAAAATGATTGCAATTATTATAATAATAGACTCATGAAAATATTTAAATAGTCAATAGTCAGTTTCAAAAATTTCGATAAAATAAACGTACCTGTGCTTAGTTAAGAATATAGTGTGAACGAATCGAAACAAAAACAAAAAATATGTATTAATGTAATTAAAAAAAAAAACCGTTAGGTAATAAAAAGAAACCGGAAAAAATGATGGCCCTTCCTGCATAGGAGCAATTTAAATTTTTTCTTAGTGGGTTGAACAATAGTAAGCCAAACAGATCAGTGGGTGATAAAAAGTGGGTGTGGATAATGATACACCATATAATGTACCTTTACTGTAATAATTAGAACATGTATTGTTAAGCAAATCACAATACAATTAAAGATTAAAAATAACTAATAATCTTTTAAAAATTGTTAGAAATGACCAAAATATAAAAGTATGCTTCTGATAAATTAATTAAAAATCTGCATACTTTGTTTATCATATCTACACAAAAAGTTATAATATTTAAGAACAGTTGTGTATGAACAAAGAAATTATAAAAAACTTATACTACTCAAAGTATAATGTAAGTATTTTAATGAAAAATTGATTCTAACAAAAATAAGTCAAATATCCACTAAAATGTTGTACATATATTAAATTTTATTTTATTTCCATACTTTTCATAGTCATAATTCCTCCTGTGCCGAGATTCGTTCCGAAATATTTGACACTGAACTCCTCAGATACCAGCAAAGTAAAACAAACCGAACCAGAGAACATGCCAATTGGTACTCCTATAGAAGGACACACTGAGGCATAACTCACGTTTTTCCTAAAGAGAAAATAAAATAAGAAAAATGTTAAAGCTCAATAATTTTAAATAATATAGAAACCCATTGCGTTAGGTACTTACTTTTTCAACACCGTCAGCGACCATCCATCGACGACGATGTCTTGTGTCGCGGACAAAAAGTTAACAACGAAGACCATCCGCACTATCATCGTAAGATTTGGTCGTCCCGTCTCAGGCAACCAATTATCCATATTGAAGGCCATATAAAAAAATGTGACCCCTGTTCGATGTCAAAAATAGTTGAACATTTCTAGGTTTACATGTATTAAAGAGTGAATAATTCGTAAACTTTCTTTATTAAAGTATGAGTATCGTGTTGATATTTTATGTCAACATATTGAAAAACATTTAATTAACTAAAATAATGTTGTTTTTAAATATACAGTAGAACCTCTCTAATCCGTCACCTCCGGGACTGGGGGTGTGGTCGGAACGCGAAAAAGGTCGGATTATCAGAATATACAGAACATTTTTATTTATATATTACATACAAGATTATATTAGAAATTTATTATATTTTACAATACTTAAAAAAAAAACTAATTATAGATTTTTGTTTAGCAAATGACATTTTAGACTTAGCTAAGACTAATAAGGGAAATATTAAACTAGCAATTAATTGTATATATCTTTTATAAAWTGGAAAATCTAAATTGTACTTTTTAAATTACATACATAGTATTCATATCAATAATACTATGGTCGGATCAACCGGAGCGGCGGATTAGCCGAGGGCGTACGAGAGGGGTTCTACTGTATTTCAAATATTTGATTGATCGTAGGCACTCTGTTTTTCTATAATATTGTGCCTAGTATTATCATACCTTGATAGGTATGTGCTGAAAAAATTAAATTTACATACCCAATAATAGTTGAAGAGGTAATAGCCAGGATTTTCGTCTACCAATCGAGTTTATATAGAGTGCGTCTATAATTGGAGCCCATAAGAGTTTAATACTATAAGGCCATAATGCCATACTAAATGATGCCTAAAATAAAACAAACAATAATATTCTATAATTAATTAATATAAATCCCCGACGCATTTTCATCATTTTACAAACAGTAAATCAAGCAATTAGTCTAAAGTTATTTTTTAATTTGTTTTATAATATTTGATAAAAAAATTTGTATCTAATTAAAGATGTTAGACATAAATAAAATGAAAACTCAATATGGACAATTTTATCGTTTCTACATTGCAAATATTAAAAGTGCATAAAGTAATTAAAATTTTTTTTGTATGGTGATTTTTAATTTTAAAAATAATTATTTTATGAAACCTTAAAAAATAATGTTTAAGAGGACGTTACACCTGCATACGATGTCCCTTACAAACGCGTATAATGTGGTATATTGTACGTTCTCAATAATCTATTTAACTCTGTTATGATTTAAATTATCAAAATTATAATTAATTATAAAAATTAAAATGGTATATTTTTTTGAGCATTTTAAACTACTCATAACTTGCTTTAAGATAAAAATCTAAAAAAATCTACGAGGCTCACTAGATAATATTCGCGCTCCTAAATTTGATAATAAGTCAATTCGGTCTTAAATTAAATATCCTTGAGTTAAATAAATTATTGAGAATGTAAAATTTGTCATTTTATGCGTTTGAAAGAAACAGAGAACACATGCGGGTGTAGCGCCCTCTAAAATTAAAATAAATTCACTTTATCTAAGTTAACAAACATATAATTTTGTTTTTTATACTATAAAAATATGTTTCATTGTTACTTAAGGTGAACAAAGTAATTTTTATAAAATAATGAAGTATCGTATAATTTAAAAATAGTATATATATGCACTTACTTGATCATCATAGGTTACCATTTTTTTGCTCTGTAAAATCAACGGAAGAGCCGTAGATACGCCTATAGGAAATCCTTGTATTGTGTATAGTATTATTAATAGGATTAAATTCAACCGATCTCCGTCCAAGTTTGGCTTTTCTGACTTAGATTTGAGTGGCACTTCATATACTTCAACTGATTCATCTTTGTGTTTGGTTGATTTAAACATAGTTTATTATTATATTATAGAACTTGGTCGTTAACAAACGATTTGATTTGTAAATTTGACTAGAGAACACGGATCGGTGATACTAAACAAAATAGTGCAATTTTATTTGAATTTGTCCATATAATAATTATTTTCTATTATATGGTATATTATAATCATAAAAAAATACAAAATGGTAACACATTAGTTTTAATAAGTATTGGTAAGTGCCTATATAATAATATCCATTTAATTTAATATTTAATAGAAATACAGTATTATATAAATTATTTGTTGTAGAGATAACATTTGTAATTTAACATAATTTTCTCGAACGTATTAAATATTATTATTGTTATATATATTTTTTTTAATTGTTATCTTCTGAAACACTGAGTTATTCATAAAGTAAGAATTTTGTGAACAATTATTCTGAACGTGTTTGCCTCCACCCAATAAAGATTTAAGATAAATATGAAAAAAAAAATTGAGTTATTTAATTATGATGCCTTACGTGTGAGTTAAAAACGAAAAAACGTTTAAGACATTATAATATTATCCATCGCTCGATTTATTAAACATCCTGAGAATGATGCAATTAATGTAAAGATTTCCCGCGATCTTTAGATGGGCTAAGAAAGGTATAATAGTGGGTACGACGATGAACGGTCAAAGTCCTACGTTAGACTGAAAGGTTTATAGCCAGTACCTATTTGATGTTGGAACGATACTAAATTTTTAAAACCAGTTATCCGCAGCGTCTGGCTACACGGAATGTTATCGGTTAACGGTTGCGACCTTCGCCCTTAGATGATGTCCAGTTTCATTTTCACTGATTTTATGGTTATTATATAACATGTACATCTAGCCAGCCGGAACCACGAGGTTGAGGTAAGTTCGCGAGGAATGTGCAAAGTACGAGCTGCAACAGTTAATCATTTGGCGTGCCAATTATTGGATGTGTTCAAGCCTTTGAGGTGAGTTACGAGCAACATTAAACACGCGTCCAAAGGAATGTCACTAGTGTAATAGTAAATAATAATTATAATAATATATCATATTATGTAGATACGTCTTGTTAGCTGAACTGATGTAAAAATAAAAAACATTACTTTTACAAAAATCAAACACGAAAATGCGCAATAAAGTACCGGTCGTCCATAATTTATTTATTTTAATATTATTCACCGCCCGAAGATTTTAATTATAATTATTATTATAGTTATTAACAACGTATTATACATTATTATTATCACTATAACTTATTAGTTATTAACAACGTATTACATATTATTATTATCATTACTACTTATTAGTTATTACATTATACGTATACATATTATTATGTATACGCAATATTACGTAGGTATATACACATATGAGGGTATATGTACAATAATAATAATTAACATATTGATTGGAAGTGAATTTAATATATAGGTAGGTACTGATTATAATAAAAATAAATAAAATAAGAGAACAAAAAAAAATCACAATTACTCACATATTTGACCATCATAAATCAAGTCAGAGTTGGTCACATAATATTAGATATTATCAGTTGTAACCGTATTCTCACTAATCCGCGGAATCAGGGTGCTGAATCGCCAGGTTATGGTAGCACGAATTCGTGATGGTCAGGTTAATGGTTAATCGCAACTACAGTGATCGCGTTGGATTAGACGAAATACCTAAATAGCGGTGTCAAATATAATTATACTTCTGACGAACTAGAAGTTAGAAACCACAGTATTTCTGGTATGAGCAAACTGTCTTATAGTTCACAAGTGTTGCTGTCTGATAAACTGCAAACGAACAATGAAATACTGGTACTGGTAAGAGTTATGTTAATCGATGGAACCGATTATGCCATTGATATCGTAGTCATCTGAAATTTTTATCTACACTCGAAAGTATAACTATTTAAAAAATACAAATCTCGGTTCACATAAGAGTAGTGAAAAAATATTTTGTCTAAAACGAGTTTGCTTCCTCGTGGGTTTTCTTCTCGGTTTCCCAGGATATTTCGAGAAAATACAATAACAGTCACACTGTGGCCTTTTAAATTTGTATTCGTGTACGATTTACCATTCGTTCAATATGTGGACCACATTATTATTTTTAATTTTAA